AGTTTAGGATAAAGCACTAAATTGCCATACAGAAGATCAGCAATTCAGACCTACCAGCCTCTGTCAGAAACCCTATACAGTGTAGACCAACACAGACAGTACTCAATAACATGAACAACAGACTAGACCGGGATGGTGCTGTGGTTCCAGTTAGTCTAGTAAATGAGGGGTTAAAAGGACGTGTGAACGATTTCACGTGTTATAAGCTGGAAATCACAGGGCATGTGTTCATGTGCACACACCATGTGTGTGTCATTTTGTCTCTTTAATACAAGGCCTACGGTTTGGAATGGACCCATTGGTAATAACTCTCTCCAAGAACTGTTTATAGCAATGCTATTTGGTATAAACATGATCTAACACTCCATACATAAGTTCTACTTTAAATTGAAGAATCTGTATGTCATTGTCTTTATTATTTGGGGGTGGGGCTACGTTGAGTACAGGCAAGAGACCATATTTTGGAAAATACGATCTTGTTCACCCTCTTTGCAGGGGAAACATTTTCCAAACTGGTCTCCACTTAACATTCCTTCAATATTGAGTAACTGGCAACTAACTGCCAATTTTAAAACCAAACCACATCTTTTTCAAAAGATTGTAATATCCAAATGCCTGGTCTGTATTTGATTACCCACAATGCCATGCATATTGTAGGCCTCAGCCAGAAGACCAGGGAGAAATACTAAGGTATTGGCTATTGAATGGAACCAGATGAAAATTCCATTTATTGCACCCACTATATTTGATGCCAACTATGTAATTTTATTTACACAGTACTTCATTTTCAAGACTTACAAGTAGGATAATGAGTTGGACTGCAAGAAAAGTTTGACCTGCAAGATCGGCAGTTCACATTCACTAGTTGCTCCTCGGAAACCCTAAAAAGGGTCACTGTGATTTGGAACTGACTTGCAAGCACTTAACAATAACAACACCAAGTACAATGTAATTAGTATCAGCTCTGTAATACAACTGTAAATTCTCTTAACAATGGAAAGGACAGTGTATCACATGAGCTTTTACAGATCAAGTGACCCAGGATCAGTTACAGAATTTTTATGTCTGTCTTTTTTTTTCTTTTTTAGTATCAAAATTTAGCAGAATATTTGCAACTAACAAACTGATTTTCGTGCTGCTGTCAGTGCATTTCCTTATTGATCCTTTTACTTCACTTGTACATCCATGTCTGGGCTATAGTGGTAGTTGTTATCTTCTGCTTTCCTGTACTGTGTCATTGCCTCAGTGTTGGAATCACAAAGGCTAGAGGGGAAGTTGAAGAATAAGCAGCCTTTTTCAGTCTTTTTTTTTTACATCCCATGGAAACAAAAATCAGGAATTCTTTAAACACTATTTTAAGTTAAGCAAATTATAATTTGTTTTATTTTGTTTGTTTGTTTAACAATGTAGGCAGCACATGTTTATTCATACAATTCCCTCTCTAACCCTGTTAAAGATGACCTCTGGATAAACCTGTTTACCAATCCTGTATTCCAGAGAGCTTGCCTGCGAGGGCTGTATTAGATGTTGAACTAGCGTCATGTCTTAGCCACAGTTTGTGTTTCCAGGCTTTCTCCCTTGTCTTCTGGTTGAGGTGTAGAACAGAACACTGTCTATACTGCAGAGGGCAGTTGAACTCTTTGAGCTTTTTATTGAGGGAACAGTGTTTCCCATAACAAAGGGAAGCAGCAGGAGGGTGTACTCAGGAGTCTGAGTGTCTGTATTTGTATTCTTACCACCACCTGGACAATCCTGGCTGGCTGGATTCTCCTCTTGCCTTGCCTTCCTTTGTCAAGAGATATGAAGGTATACACATCCAGACTGGGTGGGGGAAGGGAGCCCGCTTTTTGAAATGTGTGGGTTCTGGTGATAGCATTAACAAAGCCCCTTCCAAGCTAGTTTGAAGATGATAATGTCTATTGTCCTTGATGACGTAAAGTGCTGTGGAATCAAGTCTGACTCATAGTGACCCCGCAGAGCATTTCCAAGGAGCAGCTCGTGGGATTGAACACCGACTCTGTGGTTAGCAGTTCAGTGTTCATCCTACAGCGCCACACTTGTTGTTGTTAAGTGCCGCTGAGTCGGTTCTGACCCATAGCAAAAATGGGCTGTTGGTGAGCTTGAACTGCCGACCTTGCAGTTCAAACGGCTTTGCAGTCTGGCGCATTAACCGACAGCGCCACACCAGGACTAGGATTCCTATAATAACTATTACTGTTTAGTGGTTAGCAGTTCAGTGCTTATCCTACAGCACCACACGAAAATTCCACCCAGGAACTATTGTTGTTAAGTGCCATCGAGTCGGTTCTGACCCATAGCAACCCTGTAATAGGGTTCTGAGGAGCAGCTGGTGACTTTTAACTACCAACTATGTTGTTCAAATCGACCTTGCAGTCCAGCCCATTAACCCACAGCACCGCTCCAGCACCCAGGACCTATAGTTGTTGTTGTGATGTGCCATCAAGTCAGTTCCGACCCATAGCGACCCTGAACAGGGTTTCCGAGACTATAAATCTTAACGAGAGCAGAAAGCCTCATCTTTCTCCCACGAAGCAGCTGGTAGTTTTGAACTGCTGACCTTGCAGTTCACAGCCCGATTCGTAACCACTATGCTACCAGAGCTCCTTCCAGGATCTATTAGTGGGCAATAATTTAGTTCTGAAAGTTTAAATCTACTGTATGCTATACACTCGTGCACATTTATATCACCTGTGATTCTCTGGCTCACGACTCCTTCTCTCTGGTAAAATTAAATGAGTATACAAGTGGGCTTCAAACAGTTCATGGGAAAATTCCATTATCTTTTCATTTAATTTTTCACAAACTTTTTGACACCCTTTCATACTTGAAAACTGACAAATTAGAATGATCAGTTTGAACCACAAGGTCGACTATTTCCACTCCTCAGAAACACTGTACAGGGTCACTGTGAGTCTTAAAGACCCTATGTGGAGCACCACACCAGGTCTCGATGTCACTCTTGCCGTTCCCAAATCAATAAATGGCCTTAACTCTCAGGTTGCTATTGACCTTGTTCTAGTAAAGTGCCAAAAAGAGATTTTGTTCATCAACAATAATTTTTTATAGTTTTGATGTTGTTGTTGTTGTTAGGTGCCATTGAGTTGGTACCAACTCATAGCGACCCTATGCAAAACAGAATGAAGCACTACCACATCCTTGGCCAACCTCACAATTGTTGCCATGCTTGAGCCCATTGATACTGCCATTTTGCCAATCCATCTCACTGGGGGTCTGCCTCTTTTTCTCTGACCCTCCACCTTACCAAACATGATATCCTTCTCCAGTGACTGGTTCCTCCTGACAATATGTCCAGTGTATGGGAGACTAAGTTTGGCCATCCTGGCCTCCAAGGAGCACTCTGGCTGCACTTCTTCCAATACAGATCTTTTGGTTCTTTTGGCAGCCCATGGCACTTTCAATATTCTCCTCCAACACCGTAACTCAAAAGCATCAATTCTTTTACGGTCTTCCTTATTCACTGTCCAGCTTTCGCATGCATATGAAGTTACTGAAAATATTATGACTTGGGTCAGGTGCACTTTAGCTTGAGAGCTGACATCTTTGCTCTTCAACACTTTAAAAAGGTCTTGTGCAGCAGATTTGCCTAATGCAATATGTCATTTGATTTCTTAACTGCTGCTTCCATGAGTGTTGATGGTTGATCCAAGAAGAATGAAGTCCTTGACAACTTCAATCTTTTCTCTGTTCATAAGAATGTTGTTTATTGGTCCAGTGGTGAGGATTTTTGCTTTCTTTACACTGAGATGCAATCCCTACCAAAGGCTGTGCTCTTTGATATTCATCAGTAAATGTTTTAAGTCCTCTTCACTTTCAGCAAGCAAGGTTGTATCATCTGCATATTGCAGGTTGTTAAATGAGTCTTCCTCCAATCTTGATGCCACATTTTCCTTCATATAACATAGTTTCTTGGATTATTTGCTCAGCATACAGGTTGAATAAGTATGCTAAAAGAACACAACCTTGTCACATACCTTTCTTAATTTTAAACCATTCAGTGTCCCCATGTTCTGTTCAAACAGCTGCCTCTTGGTCCAGATACAGATTCCTCACGGGCACAATTAAGTGTTCCAGAATACTCATACTTCGCATTGATAGTTTTGATAAACCTGTGCAATCTCATTTACCCTGTTCTGAGTTCTGGCCCCAGCTACTATCTTTGTGATATATTACCAACCAAAGTACAATTGAGAACATACCATCATTTGGCCTCGTGGGTGCATGTTGGTTAAGGTTTATGGTTTCTTGTTGTTAGGTGGCGTGAAGTGGGGACCAACTTGCAGCCTGTCATACTTTTACTAGTCTCCTCCAACACCATAACTCAAATGCATCGATTCTTCAATGGTCTTCCATATTCACTGTCCAACTTTCTAGTCAGCTTTACCACCTTCTTCCTTCAGTCAGTTAAGATTCTCTTTATATTACTGTATTCCCTGTTGCTTTCTTCTGCTTTTTAGTTTGATTAGAAAAGTAAAAGGAGGTTAGCATTTCAGAGGATTGCCTTCTCCACCCACTTGCTCTCTGGGTGATTACACACATCCATGGCTCTCGCTTCCCATCAGTATGGGAACAACCTAGTGTGCTCCTCTCCTGAGCTCAGTTACCACCCTGGTTTCTCTGCTGGGTTTTTCAAAGGACTTCAAGATCAGCATGATTCGTAGCTCCTGCCCAGATAGTCAGTTGCATTCCTTAAAAGTGATTACCATTGTTTAGTCTGGAAGTTGTTGTTGCTGTTCAGTTGACCTTGACTGAGGGTGACCCTGTGATAGAAGAGAACACAACTCTGCCTGGCCCTACACCATCTTCATGATTCTTGGTGTCTCGAGAACGTTGTTGTAGTCACACTGTTCTGAGTGTCTTCAACCTAGGAGCTTCATCTCCCAGCACCATATCAGACAGTATTCCTCTGTGATCCATAGGATTTTCATTGGCTAATTACCAGACATTTCTTCGTAATATGTCTTAATCTGGATGCTCCATAGAAACCTATCCACCATGGTTGACCCTGCTGGTATTTGAAATGCTGGTGGCGTAGCTGCCAACATCACAGCAACACTCAAGCCAATACAGTAAAACAAACTGAAGACAGATGATGGTGGTTATGGGCCATGGAGTCAGTTCCGACTCATAGTGACCCTGCACAGGGTTTCTGAGTCTGTAAATCTTTACAGGAGCAGAAAGTCTCGTCTTTCTCCTGTGGAACTGCTGGTTGTTTTGAACTACTGACCATGAGGTTAACAGCCGAACTCATAACCACTACACTACCAGAGCTCCTTTGAAGACAGGTAGTGGCTAGAAAATTAGAAACTTAGAATTCACTGTAGACACATTCTTCCTCCACATACTTAGGAAGGAAACAAATCACAGAAGCCTGTGATCTATTGGACATGAGTATCCTTCACACTGCCCGCTTCTGTGACCACCTCCATCCTCATCAGTCTGTTGTTTTCCCTGGACTCTCTGGATTCCTGGTATCTGCCTCCACAGTGAGCTACCAGGCCTGGCCTCTCACTGGATTCCCGGTGTCTTCCTCCACAGTGCAGACAGGGTGATTTATTTTAAGTAAATGGAAATCTGATGATACCCCTGTACCTTACAAATCCTGAGGGCAAAGACAACGCTGCCTACACAAGGCTGCATACAGCCTGCTTCCCCGGGAGTCTTCCAGCCCTCTCTTACTTTCTGCTCTCTAGACACAGGGCTTCCTCCTGGCCCAGGAGCCCCGCACATGGTGCGTCCTCTGCTTGCGACACTCTGACGGTTATCAGCAGCCCCTTTCCCTGGTCATGCCCCTGTTCAGACCTCAACCACAAAGTCCATTCCTAAAGACTCCTTTCCCCAGTCCCTCAAACCACCTTCCTTCAGAGCCCTTCATGCTCTCTGTCTAGACCAGACAATAGCTGTGAATCTCACTGAAAGCCTAGTGTCTGGTGCCCAGGGGCTGGTCAATCATTTCCTGAAGGAATGAGTGAGTATGTATTATTAGCTATAAAGTAAAGTACTTCAAATACTATACCAGAAATGGCTGAATTGTTTAAAATGAGCCTTCAGATGAATTGTTGCTGTATGGATGGACGTTTGTTGGCTTACTGTAATAGGGTAAAGTTCTGGTGTGACACAGTAGGATAAGCATCTGACGTCAAGGTTGGTTTGAACTGCAAGGTCAGCAGTTCACAGTCAGCAGCCGCTCCTTGGAAACCCTATACAGGGTCGCTGTGAGTCAGAACTGACTCAACAGCACATCTAGAAGGGAATTTGAGGGATTACTAGTAAAGATAAGGCGCCCTGGTGGTACCATGGTTAGACATCAGCTGTTACCTGAAAGGTCTGCCAGTCAAACCCACAAGTAGTTCTATGGGAGAAAAAATCTGGTGACCCACTTCCTTAAATATTGTTGTTGGTTGTGTGAGTGCCATAAAGTTGATTCCACTCCATAGCGACTCTGTATAGGGTTTTCAAGGAGCGATGGGTAAGCTTGAACCACTGACCTTGCACTCAAACTGACTTTGCAGTCCAGCGCATTAACCCACAGCGCCATGACTCGTCCTTAAATATGGCAACCTAGAAAACTCTATGGAACCATTCTACTCTGTCTTGTGGAGTCACTATGCTATCCGATGGCATGTAGTAAAAACAATCAGTTTTCTTACTTTTCCATTTTTTTTCTGTTAAGTTCTGTAGTCACTTTCCACCTAATCACACTTTAGTCATAATACCTGCTTGTCCCGTCACCTCCCTTTCTCCTAATCTTTTCTGACAGAGGGGAGGGATTCAAGCACAAAGAAACCCCCAGCTTGAGCTCTGTAGGATTTTAGCTGAGATTCTGGTGGGTGTTTTGTTGTGTTGTGTTGTGCCTTTACCTTCTCACTTCAGTTAGAATGTGTGCTAGATACACAGCCTCTGAACAACGAAATTGACCTGCTGATGGACAAATCATTATGTGCATTTTCAGGTTCACTACAATGTTGGGAAAAACTTGGCTGATAATGGTAACCAAACAGCTGCCATCCGATATTACAGGGAAGCTGTAAGGTACTACACTCTTATTGTCCCCCATAAGAAATGTCACTCACAAGAGGGTAAGTCAAACAATATTGCTATAAAATTATAGAAACTTTTATTAGACAGCAAAAAAGAAAACATAAAAATCTGAAGCTCTTGTTTCTCAACACATCCTCCATCTGGGTCTACATACTTCTGAAGGTGGTGTTCCCATCTTTCTAACCGCTCCCCAAAGAATTCTCCACTCTTCAGTTTTTCAGTTTACACCACATCACACAGCAGGCAGTTTTAGCATCTACTAGCCGCTGAGATTGTGTTCTTTGTCAATGTCATGTAAATTTGGGAAGCAAAAAAAAATCTGAAGGGCCAAGATCAGGGCTGTAGAATGAATAGAGTAAGGTTTCCTAACAGAATTCTCATAAGACAAATTTTATTCCCCTCAAAGAATGAGTAGGTATACTTTGTCATGATGGGGGGTGGGGAGGTAGAAAATACCTTCACCTAAGTTTTTTACCCTTTTTCTCACCAATACAGCTTCCAGTTTTCTTAAAATGGATTCATAATAAGACACTGTGGTCATCCTGTGTCTTTTGAGGTGATCTATCAAGATTACCCCTTAGGAATCTTAATGAGCAATCAGCACAACCCTGTGCACTGACCTCTCTCTGCCTTGGGTTTAACTGGCCCAGCAGATCTCCAGCAAAGTCCTTATTTTGATTGGACCTTTTTGTTTTGTTTTGAAATCACCTTAAGGAGACTAAGACAAGTGTTTTCCTGAGAAAACTTGTCTTCAGCCATCCACTGATCACAGAGTCATGTTTGAGCACATTTTGCACGTTTTGTTTGGAATAAATATGTGCAAACTGGATCCCTCATACCTATACTGTCTGACTTATCCTCAGATGTCCATAATGTTTTAACTTTCTAAGGTTAGAAACCTAGAAACCTGTCCCCTTTAAGACCACACGTTTAAAGAGCTCTTGCCAGTTCCTAAAAGCTTAGCAAAAACTACTGTCCTTTAACTAACTGTTTTCTCTGTCAACTTCCAGATTAAATCCCAAGTATGTTCATGCCATGAATAATCTTGGCAATATCTTGAAAGAAAGGAATGAGCTCCAGGAAGCTGAGGAGCTGCTGTCTTTGGCTGTACAAATACAGTAGGCATTGCTTTTACAATTAGACTAGTAACAAAGTAGTTAACTTCTGCATTCTTGTTCTAAATCTTCCTTTTTCTTGTTTATCTTTCTTTTTCTTTTTTTTTTTTTAAATGCCCTGCCAGGCCAGACTTTGCTGCTGCATGGATGAACTTAGGTATCGTCCAGAACAGCCTCAAGCGGTTTGAAGCAGCGGAACACAGTTACCGGACAGCGATCAAGCACAGAAGAAAATACCCGGACTGCTACTACAACCTTGGACGTTTGGTAAATTTGGGGTGCTCTTGTAGCTGTGGATGGAAAGATTTTTTTTCTCCTTATTTAGAATAAAAATGACAGTAGTGACCATGTTTATAACATACTTACACATATATTTATTTCATTTAAAGGGTGCTGATGGGTTTTCTTATATATATTTTTCTAAAAAAAAGTCTTAACTACAGGGCAATCCAAATCTATTTAGTCATGCTGACAAGATCACAAAAGCAATATGTTAAACTAAAAAATAAGTTTGAAAATGTTTAAATCTCTTAAGCCCTATAAAACAATACTCCATGGAGTAACTTCCTGATAAACATCAGATTCTCTCTTTTAAAGCAGGGAGTCAATAAAAACTGAGATTAAGAAAACAAACCAACAGTGGGCTTTCTGACCTTCCCTTATTCTCCTTTCTCAGGGGAACTGCTCCTTTGATTTTCTTGACAAAGAAAATGAGACTTAAATACAAATATCAGCATTCTTTCATCAAGAATGCTTGTCCTCACCCTCAACCAAGACTTGCATTTCATTTACGAAGCTGAATAGAAGTATTGTTATACTGCTGTTTCTTGGCCCTGACTCCTGGGGACCCTAGGCACTAAGAAAGGAGATGCCACCTGGTGCTGAGCCATCCATGATGCCTTGGGGATCCCACAGTTGTCATCCGTAGAGTTTTCGTTGGCTGATTTCTGGAATTCAGTTGCCAAGCCTGTCTTCCTCATCTGTCTTAGACTGAAAGCTCTACTGAGACTTTTTTAGCATTAGAGCAAACTTCTCTTAGAGACAGGTGGTAGCTGGGTAGGAAGCGCATTGGTCTGGAATCGAACCTGGACCTCCCACATAGAGAGTGAGAATTCTACCAGTGAATACCACTACCCCCACAAATTTGTTGTTATTATTAAGTGCCATCGGGTCAGTTACGATCCATAGTGGTCCTGTATAGGGTTTCTCAGGAGCAGCTGGTGAGCTTGAACCACCAACCTTGCGGTTCAACTCAACTTTGAATTCCAACTCATTAAACCACAGCGCCACACCAGGAGTCCACCATCATAAATAGACATAACCAGAACAAGCCCACTACCATCGGGTCTATTCCGACTTAGTGTTGTTGTTAAGTGTCATTAAGTCAGTTCCGACTCATAGTGACCCTGTATAGAGTTTCCGAGGAGTGTCTGGTGAATATGGTCCACTGACCTTGCAGTTCAAACCAACCTTGTCCAGTGCATTATCCCACAGTGCCACACCAGGACTCCTAGATAGAGTTTCTGAAACCATAAATCTTACGAGAGCAGAACGCCTCCTCTTTCTCCCACTAAGTGACTGATAGTTTGAATGCTAAGCTTTCACTTAGCAGCCCAGTGCCTAACCCACAATGCCACTAGTTGTTGGTGGTGGTAAGTCCCGTGGAGTCGGTTCCAACTCATAGTGACCCTGCACAGGGTTTCCGAGGCTGTAAATCTTTACAGGAACAGAACGCCTCATCTTTCTCCCATGGAACCACTGGTAGTTTCGAACTGCTGGCCTTGAGGTTGGCAACCCGACTCGCTACCAGAGCTCCTTACAAATAGGTATGGATTCAGTATATTTGGTCTTCTTAGATAAAATTGCTAAGGGAAATATTTGTATTCATTTTGACTAAACTGGAATACAAGGGTCTTCAAAAAGTTCATGGAAAAATTCCATAATTTTTTTTATTCCATTTTCCACAAACTTTTCGAAGCCCCCTGTTATATGTTTATTGATATGAAGTTGGAATCAAATAGACAGCAGTTAATTCAAGCTTCTCCTTTGTTGTTGTTGGCCCCGACTCAGTGACCTTCAGCACAACAAACAGAGCACTGGCCCCTCACAACCATTGCTTTGTGGGAGCCCATTGCTGCTGCCACTGTCCACGTCCCTAGGTGGTTCCCTTTTTTTTTCTGATGCATCTGATAACAGAGCTGAAGTATGAGACATGTAGACTCGCCATCCTGAATTCTAAGGAACATACTGGCCGTATTTCTTCCAACACATACTGGTTTCTTCTTCTGACAGACCATGGTTCTTTTAATCTACTTTGCCAATATTATAATTCAAACACATCCATTCTTCTAGTCTGCCTTATTCATTGTCCAGCTTTCACATGCATATGAGGCGATTGAAAATACCATGGCTTGGGTCAGGTGCACCTTAGTCCTCCAACTAATTTTTTTTTTTTTTTTTAACACTTTAAAGAGGCCTCTTGAAATAGATTTCCCTAATGCAATACATCATTTGATTTCTTGACTATTTCTTCTATGAGCATTGATCGTAAATCCAAGTAAAATGAAATCTTTGACAA